GGCCATTCCTGGGCTCTGGAATGGCCTGGGAGTCTGTCTGTGTGTCCGTGTGTCTGTCCAGATCTGGGGTGTCAGTCAGTCAGTTTGTGTGTCCGTCTGTCTGTCTGTCTGTCCAGATCTGGGGTGTCAGTCAGTCTGTCTGTCTGTCTGTCTGTCTGTCCAGATCTGGGGTGTCAGTCCGTCTGTCCGTCCCAGGGATTATCTGCTGCGGGTGAAGGTGCTGGGCAGGGGATCTGGGGTGTCTGTCAGTCTGTCTGTCCAGATCTGGGCTGTCAGTCCGTCAGTGTGTCCGTGTGTCGGTCTGTCCGTCCAGGGACGACCTGCTGCGGGTGAAGGTGCTGGGCAGTGGGTTTGGGATCATCCCTGTGGGCTGTCAGTCCGTCAGTGTGTCCGTGTGTCCGTGTGTCCGTGCAGGGACGATCTGCTGCGCGCCATCCGCAAGCTGAAGGTGCTGGGGAGCAGATCTGGGGTGTCTGTCTGTCTCTCTGTCTGTCCAGATCTGGGGTGTCAGTCTGTCAGTCAGTGTGTCAGTCCGTCAGTCTGTCCATCTGTCTGTCTGTCCAGATCTGGGCTGTCAGTGTGTCAGTCCGTCAGTCCGTCAGTGTGTCCGTGTGTCCGTGTGTCCGTGCAGGGACGATCTCCTGCGCGCCATCCGCAAGCTGAAGGTTCTGGGCAGCGGATTCGGGATCATCCCGGTGGGGGGGACGGTGCTGGTGCAGTCGGTGCCGGCCGAGCTCAGCATGGACCACACGGTGGTGCTGCAGCTGGCGGAGGTGGGGACTGGGATAGACTGGGATAAACTGGGGTAAACTGGGATTGAACTGGGATAAACTGGGCATGGACCACACGGTGGTGCTGCAGCTGGCGGAGGTGGGAAACTGGGATAGACTGGGATAGACTGGGATTGAACTGGGATAAACTGGGAATGGGCCACACGGTGGTGCTGCAGCTGGCCGAGGTGGGAAACTGGGATAAACTGGGATAAACTGGGAATACTGGGATAAACTGGGCATGGAGCACACGGTGGTGCTGCAGCTGGCCGAGGTGGGGAAACTGGGATAGACTGGGATAAACTGGGATAAACTGGGAATGGACCACACGGTGGTGCTGCAGCTGGCTGAGGTGGGGAAACTGGGATAGACTGGGATAAACTGGGATCAACTGGGATAAACTGGGATAAACTGGGATTGGGAATGGAGCACACGGTGGTGCTGCAGCTGGCCGAGGTGGGAAACTGGGATAAACTGGGATTGAACTGGGATAAACTGGGATTGGGAATGGAGCACACGGTGGTGCTGCAGCTGGCCGAGGTGGGATAGACTGGGAATACTGGGATAAACTGGGAATGGGCCACACGGTGGTGCTGCAGCTGGCTGAGGTGGGATAGACTGGGAATACTGGGATAGACTGGGATAAACTGGGATAGACTGGGATAGACTGGGATAGACTGGGATAGACTGGGCATGGAGCACACGGTGGTGCTGCAGCTGGCTGAGGTGGGGACTGGGATAGACTGGGATAAACTGGGATTGAATTGGGATAAACTGGGAATACTGGGATAAACTGGGATAACCTGGGATTGAACTGGGATTGGGAATGGAGCACACGGTGGTGCTGCAGCTGGCTGAGGTGGGAAACTGGGAGTACTGGGATAGACTGGGATAAACTGGGATAAACTGGGAATGGGCCACACGGTGGTGCTGCAGCTGGCTGAGGTGGGGACTGGGATAGAACTGGGATAAACTGGGATTGAACTGGGATTGAACTGGGAATGGGCCACACGGTGGTGCTGCAGCTGGCGGAGGTGGGGACTGGGATAGACTGGGATAAACTGGGATTGAACTGGGAATGGGCCACACGGTGGTGCTGCAGCTGGCTGAGGTGGGGACTGGGATAGACTGGGATAAACTGGGATTGAATTGGGATAAACTGGGAATACTGGGATAAAC